ATGGAACCTAACCAACCTTTTTACACTTGCTGTTTTGTGCATTACTCCTTTCTCATCAGGACGTTTGTTATGAAGTGGTAAATGAAGTGAACAACACTCATGTTCTGAACAGATGTATTTTTAAAATGGTTTGAGCATGCCAATTTTCTTTATTCTGCAATGAATGAATGGAATGAAAAAGACGTGGCGTCCTGCGCCAGCTGGCAAATGCTTCAGAAGGATATTACATTGCTATTGTCTTCAGCAGTGCCCAAATAACTGTTTGGTGGCTGGAAGGGCTGGTATGTTTTGCTCATAAGATCAGTATTTATTTGGATCTACTACATAACTTCTCAGAGCCATGATCAGCATGGTGCTTACTGAGCATCAGGGACAGGCAGCTCCTCCGTGTCCATCCCAGCTCCTGTTCCAGGGGAAGGCCAACAGCACCTTCTTCTCCCCTTGCACTTTGCAGAAGGGAGGTGAACAGTTCCCAGAGACAAAGGACAAGGTGAGATCAAGGTGCTGCAGGCATTCAATGAAGATATACTTGCTTTGAGGAGCACTCCAGGGAAGGTATGGAACTATCATAAAGTCACAAAAACAGCCAGGCCAAACTCTGCCAATAAAGCTGGTATCCAAGAAGTTATTTTCTTTACTATGAGAAATCCTTTATAGCTAATCCCAAACAGATTCTCAGCATTTTAAGGAGCTCATTATCTCCTAAGAAAGGCCTCATATTTTGGTTTCAATTATTACTGTAGCAAAAAGTCAGTCATACTCCCAAATTCCATAGAACATCATGCAATAAATTACAAAGCAGTGTAATTTCTCTCTTTGAAGATAATAATCTATGTGGCAAGACAGAAAATAGGTACTGGCAGTTGGGGAATTACACAGCACAGAGAAAATTAATTCTGTATTTTCATATTGCACAAAAAGCATATATTGTTAGCTTAGATACTATAAAACACAAAGCATTTATAATTTGAAATAAATTGCTTTAGTCTTGTAGCATTTTTTCTAAATATGGACATGGGCTTTTACCTTAATAAAACACAGTTTGTGTCTCAAACTTACATATACTCACACAACTGTCAGAGAACTCTGAAAGGCTGATGCGCACGATTTTCTGGTTTACATAAATGAAGATACCTGCACACAATTAATGACAATCGGGACAACAACTATTTTATAGACTGGTCTTGGTTTTATGCCTATTGAGCAACTCAATTATTTTTTCCTCCCTTTCCCTCACATGCAAAAACCTTTTCCTTTTCCAAGCTAACTCTCAGGAACCCCCCTTTCTCAAAAGCAGAAGTACAAATACTTCCATCAGGAAATTCACATTCTTGAGTTTCTTTGAAAATGATCTACAACTTAAGATATTTAGCCAGTGATCAGTAGTTTCCCAAAACCTTAAAGCATGCAATATCTGGCCCAACTACGAGAATAACTGCCAACAAGCTCCTATGTAGAGCTTTTACAGTAAGATTTGTCATTTCTCCTGACTCTGCCTGGAGCACAAACAAATTACAGGAAGGACTAAGGTATGAGGTATGAACCTAAAACATCTCCTGAATACAAGTGTTTTAGATGCATCTTGTCCAGAAAATGACCACACTTGAATTTCTTTTGCATAGCAAGGATCTAGATAATTTATAAACATGAAAGGTGATGTTGAACAGAAAGTCTGCTGGATCCATTTTTCACTCATGTATTTTGTACTTTGGGGCCAGGGGGAAGTTTGTGGGAATTTGTTTAACTTTTAACAGCATTGCCACAACTGATTTCAAAATTTGAAAAGATTTCTGGCCCATCAAATCCTACAACTTAGTAAGTTTCCAAAACATGCTGAGACTTCCAAATGAAAATTTTGATTTGAGAGATCCTACACAATTTGTGATTTTATAGGTAGCAGACAGACTCAGAGATACGGAGCATAAGTTCTTCTCAAGCTGACGGCTTGGGGAACAATTTGTCTTTACCTTACTGACACACTAACTGGTCTAAAAAGGACATTATGTCTACACAAAAGCCTTCACATCCTAAACCAAACACTGACACAAGCAAATCTGAAATAAAGGTGTTCCCAGAGTATCTGCTTGACTACGAAAGCGCCCATACTCAGAGGAAAAAAAAAACCATAAAAAGCTCCAAAACAAGAACCACAGTAACTGAACAGTGCCTATATTCTCATTTCCTATTATTTTATTTTACAGAAGTGTTTGATTTTAATTTTTAATAAAAGAGTTCATCAAAACATAAGAAAAATAACCCAGGGATGCACTAAATACTGTCAGTAGTGCCTCATTTCCATGTGCAGAAATTGCAGGACAATGAAAAACTTACTGAAATAGCAGCTGCAGGAGTGGAAGTTGATCACCACACACACCACTCAGCCCCTGGACAAATACAGCTGGAGACAATCTAAGGAACAGTGTTCCTCCTATCACACCACATAGAAAAATACAATGAATCCCTTTAAATTAGCACTTGGCAGAGAAACAAGCCAGTGAGGGAAAGAAAAAAAAGCAACCAACCAAATAAAGCATTAAAATAATTCCAAGGCACCCAGAAGGTTAAATAAGAAGAAACATTGGTTGCAGTCTAGGATCAATGGAATTAAACTGTTGAGCATCTCCCTGAAGTGTTTCAGCCTTTTTAAAAAAAATAACTCATAGGGTAGCTTCCAAGTCAGCAGTGACTAAAAGTCAGAAGCCACTCTTCTAAGTGGGAAAAGGACATAAAAAATGCCAATGTCACCTCCAGCTACAAAAACTTTTACTGTCCATGGATCAATTCTATGAAAAAGATCCTTGTCAGCCAGACTGAAGGTTACAATGACACAAAGCTTGTGTGCAAAACTGGAATAGGCAGTAAAATACCAGAGAACCCAGGAAAGCCACAAAGTCTCTTGCATCTTTGCAACAAGCAATCAAAATGCCTCTGGAAAACAAAACTAAACAAGAAAACCCACCCCAAAAACAGAAGGAAAAAAAAACCAAAACCCCAATCCACATCAATGGACTACTTTAATGAAAATATGGAGACAAGGGATAAGCTTGCTTAAAAACAGTAATCCAGCATCCAGTACAGCAGCATCACTGAAGCATCGATTTTTTTGTTGTTGTTGAAGATCCTGTGAAACTGCCAACTCTACTTCACTAAAAGTTGAAACTTCAGAAATTGAGAGATGCCAAGAACAACTCCCTTTCTAAGTCAATTTCCACAAAGAAAATCTACTGTAATCTCAGAAAGACAAAACTTCCACAACAGACTCCATTCCTTATTAGCATTTCCAGCCACCTGCCAATGTGTGCTTCCAGCCAGGATTTCACAGGCTCACTGGGATTCACAAATTTTAGAGTTTCACCAATTCTGGATTACTCCACCAGCAGAACTCCTTATAAAAGGCAACAGTCATTTTATTAACCTTATTCTAAAACAGCTGCCTCATCTAACACAACTTCTTTTGACTGGCAAAAAAACCCAACAGCTTGATGTTGGCAGGTCTGGGATCAACTCAGAAATGGAAAAAGGCCTTTTCTTGATTTGTGACAAGTCATCAATTTTGGCAATTTTTTGGCCCTAAATTTGACTATGAAATTGCCTGCACAACTGAGCAGATGATAGGGAAAGAGAGGAGAGGATTAAGGAAAGGGAGATAGCAATGAGTAGGGCATTCTATAAATAAAGAATATTGCAGAAGCCTGAGACAGCAGTTCACAAAACACAAAGGGCTGCTGGTCACTCAGAAAAGGCAAACTGCGTTGAACGGCTTAAGCTGTTGGGTTATAAAGTCAAGGACTGGTTGTAGAGGAAGAGGTTCTTGGGTTTTATAAGGTTTTTAAATTGTAATGAAAGAGTGTCTTTCCCAGGCTGGATAACCTTGACATTCCTTTTAAACCATACTAAAACAAACATGGCCACCAGCTCTCCCAAACGGAATCAAGAAATGGCAACACTAACCACAGTAGGTGCTATTCAAGGCAATACACAAACCTCAGCATCTCAAGGCCAAGGACTCCATATGGAGAAACACAAGCCAAAAGCAGGATTTAGGGCCAACTTCAAAATTGTACATATGTAAGAGAACTGCAACCACTTTAAGATCCTCACTGCATCTGAGCAACTCGCTATCACCAGCCCCAGGCCCACAAGACTTCAGAGTAGGAAACAAAGTTATCAGCTGCAGCAGAGCACTTTCCCACAGCTGGTTTTAATTAAGCTAATTTGGCAGTAGTGACTGACAGCAAGCAGAGCCCTCCCAAATCACTTTGCAAGCATTTTTGCCAGCATTTCACCATCTGTGATAACCAGGATACTTGATACGAACTAGGATCTGTCTGAGGTACAGCATTTTAGAGCTGTGTATCCACTCTCCTTTAAAATCACCTGGTACAGCCACTGCTTACAGGTAACTGGAGCCACTGTTTACAGATAATGGAGTGGGGGGAGAAGATGCAGAACTTGAGGAAAGGCGTTGGATCAATTCCACTGAGAAAGCCGCTCCTGAAAAAGCAGGTAGATCACTTGCCAGAATCCCATAATACCTTGGCCGTACCCATGGTACATGAAACCTATAAATGATCACATGGATATTGAGGAGATTTTGGAGCTGTAACAAACAGAATGGCCTATATAATTTCTAGGCTAGTTGTGTAGTTTTTCTTTTATAGATAGATGCAGGATAGGGCAGGTTTAGCACGAAGAAATGCTTCAGGTTATACCATGATGTCAGAACAATCCAGGGTATGGCCAGACTGTGCAAATGTAAGACCCATTAAGGGAACGAGAAAGGGTCTAGAAAAGGAGTAATTTTAGTGGCATCTAACTACATGGAAATTTTTTCCTAAAGTAAATCTCTGACCAGCAACTGGAGTGGGAGACACTAATGGTATCAGTACCAGCACTGGTACATGAGACCAACACACATAAGGAATAGATGGATCAGTAAATATAGGTCAAGAACATGAAAAAAAAAAAATCAGCCTTCTGCAGGAATACTTAGCATTTACCCACACCTGGTCTGTCTGGTTCGCTCAAGGTATGACTATCTGATACAAACACTAATTCAGATTAAAACACTGACCTGGCCACCTCCAATAAATGCAGACTGCTGACACTTAAGCCAGGGAAGTTGCCAGGAACCAAGCCTTAAGTGTGAACCAAGGCAAAGGAAACAGTGAAAGTTGCGGGATCATAAGTCTGGGATTCACAACAGCAGAATTCAGGGACCAGCTTGAGAAAAACCCATGGGATTTGGGCCTTGGGAGAAGACTGGCACAGGAGAGTTTGCTCATTTTGAAGAATGACCTCCACCATGCTCAAGAATCATAGAGCCAATTTGCAGAAAATCAAGCAATGGTACCAGGAGACCCACATGGATCAACAAGGAGATTTTGACAATACTCAAATATAAAAAGAATGCACACAAGAGGTGGGAGTGGGGTCAGGTGAGCAGGGACAAATGTAGGGACACTGCCCTAGTGTGCAAAGACAGACTTGGGAAGGTCAAATCCTGCCTGGGGCTGAAAACAGCAAGGGACAAGAAGTGCTTCTACAAGCAATAGAGCAGTAAAAAGAAGACTAGAGAAAATGTGGGCCTGCTGCCGAGAAAAAAATATGGAAAAGGCCTGGAGAAATGGGCAGGCAGATCTCATGAAGTTCAGCAAAGAAAAATGCAAAGTCCTGCTCCTGGAGAGGAATAACTATGCCCTACAGCCTGGGTGCCAACCTACTGGGAAACAGCTTTGCAGAGAAGAACCTGGGAATCCGGGTGGAGCAGCTGACCCGAGCCAGCAGCATGCCCTGGTCACAAAGGCAGCCACCAGCCCCCAGGGGGGACCCTTCCCCTGGCTCAGCACTGGGGGGGCTCTGCTGCAGGGCTGGGGCACTGCTGGGCTCCCCTCTGCAGAGACACACACTGGAACAAGTCCAGCAAGCTAAGATGATTAAAGGATTGGAGCATCTGCCACGAGGGGAGGCTGAGAGAGCTGGGATTGCTCAGCCTTGAGCAGAAAAGGCTCAGGAGGATCTCAGTAACTTAACCTGATGGGAAGGATTAAAGTAGGCAGAGATGGGCTCAGAGGTGAGGTGACCAGTGAAAGGACAATAGGTAATGGGAACAAACTGAGAAGCAGGAAATTCTGTTTAAACCTAATAAAAAACCACATCTGTACTATGGGGGTGCCACCGAGTTACAAATATTTTGTGACTCTGTGAAACACCCTTGTGTTCTAAATAAGTGTTGCTCTTAGGAATTTAGTGCAAGTACTGCCCCTCAATTGAGATTGCTTCAGAACAAATTAAAAGCAGAGGAATCAACTGCAAAAAAAGACAAACCTTCCAGTCTGCTGGTAAGACGATGCCAGGCAAAAATTCTGAACAAATGCCCTAAAAAAGTGAGAACTCAATTTATCCCGAATAGAGCACAAGGTAAATCTAACAACTACAAGGTTAGGGTTCACTTACAAAGAATTTCCTTCCCAGTATAATGAAATATATTGTTAATGGCTACTATTTGAGTCCAGGAGTGAAAATCCAATGATCCTGCTGAGGTCATGATTACTACCCATAATAAACTGGGTTTTACTACTGGCTTTCACAAGAGGAGCAGCCAATTAAATACAACGTGCACACTGGAGTGTTTTTGGTCTTTTGAGCTAGAAGGATCTGGGCAGTTTCTCTACAGTTGCTCAACATATTCAACATGACTGAAGTATCCCACACTGACAAATTCCCCCATCAAATTTCACCCTTCAGAAGATTTCAAGCTGGTGGATTAATAATGCCCTGCATTCTGCTAGTGAAAATTTACATAGTGATGCCACAGAAGGCACAGCTTCCCACCACAGCCCCAAACAGCCCATTCCCCTAGGCCCCCTCCTTTGAGCCATCACAAGGACACCCATGGCTGAAAGGTCAGACTTTCCATTTTGGTTTTCTGCTGTTTTGCAGTAGGCTGGCATTGTTTGCCATGCCATCAGTCAAACAGAAACAGCTGGCTCAAGGTAAGCTGTAGAAAAAAGGGCTAGGGTTGAAGCACAAAGAATGTGAGTGATGTTCCAAAACACAGTTATAGCCAGTGCTAGCAGTGTTTCCTACAGCCAAAGCCCAAAGGCACATTAATACCTTTCTATCCACTCCTCCTCCACTGTGGCTCTACTCCTACCAGGCATCTTGTTTTCTGCTCCCAACAGATTCCATCACTGAAAGCCACCTACCATCCCAAAAACATGCAGAAGAATGAAGACAGATTGGGAAAAGAGTTATTGTGGCCTTTGAATATTTTTTTATTTTTCAAGCCTGTCTATATAAGGTCTTCTCTCAATGAAATCACACTGTAGTTAATACCTGTAAAATTATCCATGAGGACAAACCACTATGAGAGGTAGATTCAGCACAAAGTGCTTCAGTGAGTTTGCTACTATACCTACTATATCTTGTACCTACAAGGGGTATCTTCTGACACCATGGCTTAGATCACTTTGCAAAGCAGAAAACCTCACTCACAGAGCAGTTCTTTTTGCCAACTTAATATCAAATAAGCCCATACCAGAATTCCATGGAATCACAGAATGTTTTGGTTTGGAAGGGATCTTAAAAACCATCCAGTTCCAGCCCCCTGCCATGGGCAGAAACAACTTCCACTAGACCAGGTTGCTCAAACCCCTGTCCAACCCAGCCTTCAAAGCTTCCAGGAATGAGGCAGCCACAACTTCTCTGGGAACCCTCTTCTAGTGCCTCACCACCCTCACAGTAAATAATTTCTTCCTAATATTCAGTCTAAACCTGCACTTTCAGTTTGAAACCATTTCTGTACATTACAGTAGAGTCAGAATACAGCAGTGACCAAAGTGAAGGTGTCTCACTTCCAATTACCAATTAAGGATTGGTAATTGGAATTACCAATTGAAGGATTACCAATTCCAACCCCAAATTAACAGCAGCCTCAAGGCCAGACAGAATACTTTGGCAGCAATGCAAAATTTAGGAGATTTTCACACCCTGTGTGGCCCAGCACATCACTGCAATTGCCCCCAGCACAGCTGTGCCATGACAACTGCTCACAGGCTATGGGGAGGTGGTAAATTGGATCACTGAAAAAGTATGGGACAAAAATCACCAAAAATAGTCCTTAAAAATGTTACTATTAAGTAGTCACTTAGAGCAGATTTATCACAAAAATCAACACACTATGTAACTGTACTCTCAGAAACTTAGATTTGGAAAGCTCAGGTCCTTTCCACAGAACTGAAATGATCTCTGGCAAAATGGTAACATTCCTTAAAAGCGGGTCTTAAATAACAGCCCACCTGTTGACATTCAAATAAAACACAACTCTGGTGAACAGCAGCCAGAGACTGTGCAAGAATGTGGTAAATAAAACACAGGAGGAGAGAGCTGGGCTGTCCAACAAGAGATGGAATAATTGCAACTTTGTCCCCAAACCTTTACTGGTTCTTTTATAGTTTATCTCCAGAAGAAAAACTCCCTGGAAAGTTCCAGCATAATCAACTCCTCAATCTAGAACAAAGAAGGAACAGTCCTTCCACAACACTGCAGGACAAACAACTGTATCAGAATACACATCTTTGAAGCACTTTTTGTGACATCAGAACTAATGAGAAAACATTCGTACTTAATTGGGTGATTCTCCACAAAACTACTCAGTAAATCCATAAATGCATGCTATGAGGACGGGGCAGTGATCCAACAAAGACCAATAACATGTCAACAGTTCCAATGAGTAACATATTAGGAGCAAAAAAAAATTCCAAACTCGGTGTGAAAAACCTCATTTTTTATCTTGCACCAACAGTACCCTCTGCTGTTCCAAAGCTGCACTGCATAAGGTGACATCCAGCACTGACCATCGGAATACACCATCCATCAAAAGCATCCACCTAGCTTTATTCATTAATTATCCCACTTCCTGTAAAGATGTTCCAGATGTATTGGTTACTTCCTACTAACGAGCCAGGTTTTGGGTTGGTTATCATATTAATATATTTATTGTCCCAAGACCTTCTTCTGTGTTTAGAAAAATACAGTTTTAGCCTTAGAAATAATTTTTAAAGTAATTTTTTTAAATTAACAAAAACAAAATAAATGGAAGGCTATTCCCTAAGGAAGACAAGACCCAGTCAACACCACAATAATATTTTCTGGAACATTTCTGTAAAGCCAAAAGGGGGTTTTAGATTTTAAAATCAGTGTATTGCTCAACAGCCACACATCAGATATTCTACCACAAGGTTTTTCAAAACGCATCTTGAAGGCTACATCCCATCTGGCAAATGGCCCTAGGGGAAACAACATAGGAAGTGTACTTCTGATATCCTCTGATAACCCAGCATTCCCATGCTGCAAGAAGGACCATCACACTGCAGATGCAGCACAGCAAGAGCAGAAACAGGGAGGCAAGGCAGGGAATTCCCCTGTGATGAAAATTCCAGACCCACCCTTGCAGGATCACCATGAAGCTTCAGCAAAAGCCCCAAACCTGAGGAGACACCACCCTCAGAGTGTCCAGCTGATGATCACCATCAGCAGAGAAATTCAGAAATGGAGTGTACTACTGTTCTTATCCCCTCACAAGGGGAAGGCAATGTGAGGGAGGATAGGCACAAATTGTATGAGCACTACAGAGGAAAAAATGCCCCCAAGTGGGATTTGAGGCACAGGCATCTCACCACAGGCAGCCTGTATGAACAAGCACAGGGAGGAAAAGACATACAAGAACAAGGAACGCTCTAACTAGATTACATGGTTAAGATGATCGTGCCAAAATTGAACTGTGAATGAATACACTGAAATATAATCCAGAACTACAGAAAAAAAACCAAAACAAAACAAACAAACCAGAAAATAGAACTCTTTCAGTATAGAGAAGAAACAAATTTGTACAACTTGCAATGGAAAAGAAACCTCTACTGCCTGATCTCAAAAGCTTTTCAGGGCAGGGTGACACATGACAGAAAATGTCTACAGAGCTTAAAACCAAAAGAAACTGAACAAAACATGTTGTCCTTAACTATATTGTCAACAGGACAGTTCCACCCAGTTCAGGGTCCTCTTCCGAAGCGATGGGAGACATCAGTGAGCTGCCTCTGACCAAAGGACACAACTTTGAAGCTTCAAGGCTGGTTTCATGTCTTTCCATCACGAGCAGACTTAGAATCAAATTTTCATACATTTAACAGCAACACGACTTCCAAGTGTATGGCAAGTATACAAATATTTGATCTTGGCAAGGGAACAAAGTACTTCCAAGGGGACTCAATGGTGTTGTAATGACTTATAGTGAACAGCAAGCTGATCTGAATTGGCACCACAACACTGAAACCCTCATGTCTTTGCACTGAAAAGCATCAGCTAGAGCACAACTGCAAACCACATTTTTCTATTCCACTCATTCCAAAGAAATACACGCCAAGAAACGTACACACAAGTTAGAGAGTATTTAGAAGTAGCAATGTTTAATATTTTTTAAAAATTTCTCCACTAGAAAGATTATAAAGCCCAAATCTGAAGAAAATAAGACTACAACAAGCTTATCAACTAATCTAAAACTCACAAACACATGTTGAGGGCAGAAAAAAAATTAAAACAAGAGAGGGTGAAAGTCAGAAAAGCTTGCAATTGACTTCATTGTGGTCAAAGGGATTTAGAGTAGACATCAGGAAAAATCTGTCTAGAGAGAAGAACAATTAAGCACTGGGACAGATTGTACCAGTTCCCGTAATTAGATTTTATAGAGTACTTATGACATATGTTGGAATAAAAAGATGTTAAAAATATTGTTTCTAAAAGCCCAGAGAAAGACCTGGGGTAGTTCTTTCCAGTGCTATTTGCTACAATTTCCTATGAAGGAAAACATTTTGAATGGCCATTATTAAAATATACAACCTCTAAAATAAGTAGTAACATTTAAGGTCAGATAATCAAGAAAACACACAGTACTAGAAATCAAGCGTATTAATCTACACTTTAAAAAAGCACAAGACAATTATTTTTCAAATTAAATATTTACTAAAGTATCTTAGGAAGTTTCTAAATGTTATGCAGAAAGAAAGAAAACTGCCTTGTACTTCCAGCTCACTCCCTGTTGTTTCTTAATGCCACTGAGGTAACTGGACTAAATGTCAGAGTGCCAGGAATACAAAAATGCAAGATAACGGCACTGAGGTACATAACATAAATATGAAAATAAATCAAAAATAAATAATTATTCAAGTTTTGAAAATATAATTAGTATTTTGGAGCTTAACACTATCCCTCTTAACACTATCCCTTTCTTACCTACAGACTGACTGTTCAGGACTGATATTCTCACTTGCTGATATTATCTTGCTGCTGTCAGTGCTTTAAAAAAAAAAAAGAAAATATTAATTTGCAACCATTTTTAGCATTAGGACCGCAATAAGAAAGGAGGCTTCTGCTTTATGGCCAAATAAACATTATTCCTCAATACTACCCAAGTCCTAAGAAGGTTACAGTCACAACAATGTAACTTCTTTCTCAGTACAATTGACCAACGTCCCTCTAGAAATTTGAGACTGGTTCAAGCCTGTCCTTTAAAAGAAGCCAAAAACATTTGCCTTGATGGACAAACAATATGGAAGAAAAGAGAATTAAAAATTATAAACACAGATTTGCTTCTATCTTCAAGATGAAACTTGCAGTATGCAAGCACCTCCACATGTTTGCAATCCTGACAGAGCCCAGCATTCAATATGCAATCGCAGGGGATTTGTACCCCACGTGATTCCAAGGAACTGCATTCTCCAAACACTTTATTGGACCAGACAAACATTCCAGAGATGAGGCTTCACACTGTACAGGATGCAGGAAGGGAACCACCCAGCAATCTATGCAAGATGAAGACTTCTGGAAACATTCATCCCACCGGACACGGACAAAGGAAATACCACAAATAATGCTTTTTAATTAAAATGTGTTACAAAGTGTAAACAGGAACACACTAGTTTAAAAATATTATAAGAGAAAATATCTTAGAAAAGGAGTACACTTACTTCTCAACTCCTACTAAAAGAAAAGAAATTATGGTATTTGTTATGGATTAATAGCTTTGGAAATCTCACCTTTCAAGGACAATAAGTGGAGGTGCTATGAGGAAGAGACAATCACTACTGTTGGTGCAGTCACTGCAGGCAGAAAGACAGAAAATTGTGTGCAATGGCTAAAAGGACTCAAAAGGGAAATGAATTTGCCACATACAACACTGTGGTTGCCACCAGCATATATCTTATTGCACAATTATGAAATACCTCCAGTGTTCCTATACCACAGAGTTTTGAATCAATGAAGCAATTCATGAGAGAGATTTAAAGAGCTTAGTGTGGATACCTGACTGAAAAAATAAACTACCTCAAAAATAGTTTGGAAAACAACATCTGTGCTACACCAGGAATCAGAACTTGAAGAAAATTGAAGAAAGATGTGCAGAAAGTTTAAGCATGATCAAATAAGCAATACAAATGCTCAAAAGGATTAGAAAAACCAAACATAAGTACAAAAGAGAAACTTTAAGGACACCATTCCTTTTGGAATGAACACATTGCAGTCCCCAACTCTCTCTGAAACAGGTTGCAACCCCAAATTTATAGTCACTTCAATAATGAACAAACCTACGTTCAATGCTCCAGATATCTCCACATTTTTAGTCACAATCCAGACATGCCTATCATTAATAGCTGGTAGCAGCAGAAGTTGTTAAAACACATCAGTGTTCACACCCAATCCAGCCATTTTCAGCAGCTCTGCCTTCTCCACAGGGAGCCAGTCACAACATGCATGGCCCCCCTTGCAACCATCATCTTCTCACGAGCCCTCAGCTTCTGATTCACAGCAGTCAGTAACAGCCATCCTCTTTCAAACAGTTCTTTGTTATTCTGAGCTTACTAAACAGCTGTGTGTCAAGCACTCAGAGCCTAAATCAGAAGTATTGCACAAACAGCCACTGCCTTCCCTCACTGACCTCCTTATCTGTTGAGTTCTGAAATTTCAAGAGACAGCCCTGATTACTTTGTAATTACTTCTCACACTGTCTTCTGGTCTTCACTTTATACCTACAATCATAAACCAAAAAAAAAAAGTGTAGGCATACGGAACACATATTCAATTCTCACTCGATCCTGCAAGTCCTTCAGGGGAAGGAAGTGACAATGGCCACAAGTTACAGATTAGGATGTTCTGACTGGACATTAGGAAAAAGGTCTCCACCACAGCACAATGGAACAGGGTGCCTGGTACCTGAAGCCTGTTTTTCTACTCATCTCTCTGTTCTACACTCCCTTAAAAGTAACTGCTTTTGGACTGATCCTCTTGAGAAGCATAAGGCCTTTGTAGCAGCAACATCAATACCTACATTGTTATTGTATATTCAATACTGTTCATTCCATGTTAAGTGTCCCCTCATTCACCTGACATTTCTTCAATATGAGCACCTCCAGTGCAACAAATGCATGACAAAGAGGTGTGTGAAACATAAGGTGGTACCAAAAAGGATATAGAACTATTTAACTGACATAAAACAGCAAAAAAGTTTGGGAAAAGGGGTACAGGAATACACAAATATAAAAAACCACTCCAAATGACAATGAACCCTCTGTTCTACTACATCATGCCTGGTCCCTAGGGAGGGCTACAGACAAACAAGGGATTGTGCAGGGATTGTGCAGATGATCAAACACCAGGGCACTGACACAAGGCTTGTGAGGAGAGACTGAGGCAATGAGCTTGTTTAGCCTGCACCTGGGGCAGGCCAAAGGGCAGCCCTCCAGCACCTGCAGGAGGCTCCCCAGGAAATGGAGCCTGGTTCTCAAAGTGGGACGATGAGAGGCAGTGGGCACAAGTTGAAACAAGAGGTTGGGACTGTTGGATGTAAAGAGAAATCTGTTCACCATGAAGACAGTGATATATTGGAAAAGACTGTACAGAAAGTTGTGCAGTCTCCATTCTTGGAAGTTTTCAAAACCTGACTGGATAAAGACTTGGTCTCAGCCAATAATTGATGCTGCTTTGACCAGGAGGTTGGACTAGAAATTTAGTTACATTCATTCCAACTATTATTATCTTCTAATTTTGCAAAGTCTTGCTCTATTCTTAAAAACACTTAAGATTTTTTTAAAGGTATGTTAAACCTGAACAAATTGAACATTAAAACTAATCCATGTAGATTTATTTTCCTCTAGTTTACCATATCTGGACACATAATATAAGATGGGAAGGATTATTTTTCCCACTCTTTATACATTGCACATGTAGGCACACAAATGTGAGAGTGTACTACAGTTACCTTTAGTAAAAGAGCTCTTTTTACTACTAAGCCTGCAACAATAATGGCTAAACAGAATCGGAGAGAAATATACAAATAACTCAGGTGAAAGATGCAAAAACATTCTGCTTTAAACAACAGAACAGAGATGGAAATTCTGAACATATCTAATATTTCTATTTATGAATATGGCTAATTCTCGTATATCCAAAGACTAATTCACAATCTCACCCTGCTTTGCTAGAATAAATCTACTTTCATCTTCAAGCTGATCTCATGTCAACAATTACAATGTGCAAACCTAAGTAGTACAAAGATTAGTTGCTTTCAAAGAAATTATGTAGTATGTGCACTTAATCTTTCAGGTGCTTACAACATAGGAAACATTTGGAAAAATGTTACTTCAATTACAAAAAAGTACTTCATTTACAAAAGTGCTTCAATTACAATATATTTATTCCAAGTTCACATAAAGAAGTTTAGTATCTTGAAATACTATTCATTCTCCTTCCTGAACTGGCTTTCTACAGTCTTGGTTAGTCACACATTCTTAGCCTTTCCAACCTCAATGTAGATGCTAAATTATTTTTGGAACCCAGATAAATTCTTAAGAGTCTCATTGTAATTTCTACACAGAGTTAAACACTTACTACCCTGTCTTCTTAAACACCTTTTGAAAAAACAAACTAATAGAATACTTCGCCATTCATTTAGAACAATTTTATCAAGCATTTCTAGAAACATTCATTATCTCCCCATCTTCTTAATCATTTATGTTTTAACTAGGCTTTAGGGGTGCTTTTTCAGACAACACCATTAGTCTGGGAAGCTCAATACCATGTGAAAATGGTTAACAGAATCTCTCATATAGGTTTGCAAAGCAGTCAGACAAGTTTATGTCTGAAAATCTTAACAGGCACTATTATATAAAAAGATAACATATCTATCTCAGGAAACCAAAGGTCACACACTGCAGGAAGAGAGGAGAATAGGATGGGAGAAACAACAGTACCTGCAAACCCCACTGTCTGCTGCTCGTGCCTCTGGCCTGAGCAGGCCAAGCCGTCCTTACACAAGACTGGTACCAGTGACAGAGGGGCAGAACTCATCTGCACAGATTTTGCCAGGAAACATGAGAGACATTTACAACAGATGTGCTTCCTAACACAAACTTGTCTCCCAACGCTTTTATTTTACTTCTTTCTTTAAAGTACGTGAAACTAAGAGCAGCAGTTGTTTCAATAATTATAAACATGCCATAATCACTTGTCAGAGGACTGCAGCATATTTTCATTTTCAGTTCACATATCAATTCTACCTTATGGAAAGCAATTCAAATTATCAAATGTGTCTTTATTCTCCTGCTGCTTCAACCTCTGCAGAAGGATCTGCAGGTTTTATGGACCTTCCAATTATTCAAGATTAAAAGCATCCAGATTTTCTCCACAGCAGCAACCCATGAAATAAGATTAAATAGTAAGAACTTTTCTTCTCTCTCCTCAGCTGGCAGAAGTCCTTTAAATAGAATGAGCTGTTTTGTAAATAAATGAAGTAACAAAGTCTGACTTCCTAAAATTTTAGATTTGTCTACGTTTTCTTCCCCCTGCAATAATGCAAGCATGGTACTCAAAACCTTATATTCCTGTGTGATCTCTCCAGATTCTTTGGGGAAATACAGAATTTCAATTGAATGCAAAAGAAAAAAAAAATCCACTAGGAAAGACCTTCTGAACACCAGTGTCAGGAGATAAAACCATAAATTTGTCACAGGACGTCATCTGAATGATCAGATTATGAAAACAGTTATAGGTAACAGTAATGGACTGTTAAATGTAAGTGGATTTAAATAGCAAGGTTTCTCCAAATTAAGGTACTGTAGAACCAAATGAATCCAGGGAAGGTTTTCTTAATTTTCACCCAGGGGACGGCAGCTGCCATTCTGTAACTGCGATGAAAATAAGAATGCTCTGGGTTTTTGGGGGTTTTGGTGGGTTTTTTAACCCAACATTTTGCCGCGGCCGTGACGTGGCGGGCGCGCCGGGCCTCTGCTGCCCCCGCGCGGTACCCGGGCGCCACTGCAGGCGCGGCCGCCGCCTCCTTCCTCACCTGCGGGGTGGCCCCGCGGAGCTTCCCGGAAAATCCTGATGTGTCTGCAAAAATCCTGATGTTTCTGTAAAAATCCTGATGTTTCCGTAAAAATTCTCAAGTTTCTATAAAAGTCCTGTTGTTTCCGTAAAAATCCTCATGTTTCCGTAAAAATCCTGAGTTAAGCATGCCGGTCTGTCCGGGACAGATTTAAAATAACATTTCCTAAAGAGTTGGAGGGGGAAGGAAGACAAGGTCCCTGCATTTTCACACAATATCAGTTCCCTGGACTAATTCACTACACAAACAAGTGTTTTAGATATCTGAATGCAAGCCACAGGAGCAGAAACTGCTTAGACAGAAGCTCAGCAGAAACTTTCCAGTACAGAAATTCCGTTTCACATTACCTACTCTGTCATGTTATTTAATTTTTACAAAGAATGAAGTATTTAATTGGAAAAAAAGTTAAGAGCACAGATCATCTAGTTCCAATTCCTCCACTGTGGGCGGGGGACACCTTCCAATAGAGCAGGTTGGTCAATGCCCCATCCAGCCTGGCCTTAAACACTTCCAGGGATGGGGGATCAACAACTTCTCCAGGCAATGTTCCAGTGTCTCACTGCCTTCACAGTGAAGAATTTCTTCCTCATACCTAACTGAAATCAATGCATAACCCTATCTTTCAAAAGTTTAGAAATATTAAAATTATATTTGAAGAATTGTTAAATAAAAAGGCAAAATTAGAAAATTCAATCAAAATTAACACATTTTTCCACTGTAATTCAATTTGCACTCATTACGTTGCATTAACTCAAGCTTTTGCCTCTAATGAAGTATCTGAACCAAACACAAAAGCTCTGGACTCAAATATATTAAAATGAATCATAATGGAAAATAATAAAGGCCTTTCCATTGTTCAGATAAGGCACTTTTAAACAGAGATTATAGCAGCAGCGCTAACAAAAAAAGCAGCATTACTAATTTCCTAGCAGCTTAATGGAGAACCACCCATGCTCCACTTGGAACCTGATAGAATTGTGTGGGGCAAGTCTCAAAAGGCTGAAAAGTCTTTGCAAGTAAATTCACAGTAATTAGGTTTCTAATTATACCCAGAGCATTAATGATTGCTATGGTTAAAACAGCCTGAACTGTTTCGTTGTTCCTCTCTTTCTGAAAGCTCAGTCTTTCATTGTTTGAGCAGAAATTCTAGAAGTTTAGTCTACCTGAACATGTATTTGTTTAAAGTTTAAACTTTAAAATAACAGAGAGTCTTGACCTTACATATGGAAAGCAAAATTAAACTTTTCCACTCTAAAAAAATTACTCCCCAGTATTGAAGCAGCTAAAAAGCAAGAAGTACAGGGCCTTTGATGGGGTAAATCTGAAGGTTGAAAAGCCCCAGACCAGAATTCACAACAGTTTGGGTTGTACACACAATAGTTCTGAAAGCACTTGCACAGATGCATCTGAGGCAGCTTCTAGCAGCAACTCACAGCAGCCACATCACACCCTAATTACAGCACCTACATCACTCCACCAGCACTGCCCATGCAGACCATGCTTTATCATCAGTACAGCCCTCTGAAATACCGCCTGTGCTTTTACAAGCATCCACAGGTGACCTCTGCCACAAGCAAGCAACTTCAACCTATTGCTGTCCTCCTAAACCAGAGACACAGAATGTGTAATTATAGGACAGTGAGTCTCATTTGGCCAACTGGACTGAGATGAAAAACCTTGAGACCTTTATTCTATTCATAGCTCTGCCCTTGAGCTGCTGCATGACGTAGAAAAATTTGACTTTCCTGTGCCTCAGCTTCCTCTGCCTTCCTGAGTCAGGTCTATTCATCACCCTTCATCCTAAGATATGTGCCTCAGTACATTTTTTCCATTAGTACGTCTAGGCACAATTACAAGCTGAGAAACAATATTTACATAGTATTTTATAGCTATGTGAGATTGATTAACTTGTAACAAAGACAAATAAATGCAATTGCACTTATAAATTATTAACATTGCAACAGTAAGGGTAAGCCTTCAGAAGTAGGAAGCCATCAGCTACTTATCTGTTAGTAAAACTCAGCTTTTATTAATTTCTGTGCCATCTTTTTTTCACTACTTCTTTCAAAGCATACATGCATCTGTTCATAGTGCTTTGAGAGAAGATCCTTCTTGGAACATGCATACTCACTGTAGTTAGATAAGACATCAGTTAAACTTTTCTGTAGTTATGATCTCTTTTGTTCTGTGAGTGATTAAGGGGTACACTTCCTGCACTGCTGCAGATCTGATGACTCACATTTAATCAGTGTCCAAACACTGAAACTCACAGGGTAACAACTGTGAAAAAGTGACATGCTCTAACAGAACCAAGTTAAAGTAGGAGGGATCCCAGCGGAATATGAAAGATGTTTTAAAAATGCATGTTTATAAGCACTTAAAAATGGAAACTGATGATTTTAATATATTCTGATATTTTTTTTTTTTTTTTTTTTTTTTTTTTTTTTTTTTTTTTTTTTTTTTTTTTTTTTGGAACTGAGCAAGGAATGCTAAATTCTTACCCTCAGAGATATACACTGCCTGGATTGTTGAGGCCTTTGGTTATGCAAAATACCAAGAACTGGTTAAGAAACATCCTGTAGTTTCTGTACCTGACTAGGATTTTGGCACTATCCTGTTACTCTCTCAGGAAAGCAATGTATACAAGAGCAATATAATCACCCACTGCCATGAAGGAGTAAACACTTGAAATCAGCTACCTCAGGTTCAAACTATCTATTCAGGATATGCATGCACAGTACAAATTACTTTTTGCTTGGATGCACAATTACATTCCTTCTGAAGTGCAGAAGAGATACATAATTCATAGAGAGCTATACCTCATGACCCAAGTGTACTTGTCCTTGCAAGTCATACCCAGGTTGTTTGGCTGCTTTATTGCCTCAGCCTGACACTGTGATGTAAACCCAGACTGCAACGACAAAAATGAGATGTTATAGTGACAATGTTGACAGAAGATAACAAACTAGGAAAAATCTCTGAGAAACATCCCTAAGTGTGACAGGCAGAATCAGTACCAAGGCCACACTCAGATCACAGCAGCAGCAGCTGTCCAACTTGAGACAAATCACAAATTACCTCCTTTGTCCCAACCTCAGCAGAACTGATGTGAAACAGAATTGAAATGAGCATGGAAGGTGCCCAAAGCCAGCATGTCTGTATCAAAGCCAAGGGGAAAAGTGCCATCTCTTCTATCAAATGAGTGGTGGGGGGAGCTCCCACTGAGGCTGGCAATACCTTAATCACAACAGCCAGTGCTGCAATGGTACAGGTGAGAGGTGGGGGATGCACGGTGAGGAGGAGAGGCAGAGAAGCACTCACTAACACAGATGACACAGCTCTCACAAGGAGGTATTGTTTCCAGCTGAACACATTGCTAAGGGGTTCACAGTCAGCTGAGATGAATAAATCCTTTCACCTCTGAAAGCACTCAGCTGCAGAGCAATTGCTACCAGAGGTAAAGTGCTTTCACTGCAATGTACCTTTCCAGAATATGGAAAACTG